GTGTGTGTGTGTGTTTGTGCAGACTGGGAGTGTGTGAGGATACACACAGGAGCTTATTCAGTAAACCAGAGTGTATGAACTTCTTGTACAATATATTATTAAAGATCTACCTTTTAATTGAACGTGCTCTAAACCCCGCCTCCGAAATGCAGTTGTCCAATGATAGCTTAGCAACCGTAACTAGGCATTGCAAATTGTATTTATCTGCTCCATTGTAAGCTGCAAACATTAGTATTCCTATCTCACTACCTACAGTAAAATAATATAAACTATAGTAACCTAGCATTAGCTTTGTTTACCAAGGTAACATTACCTGCTCATGACTAAAACATCCACCTTGCGGGAATGCCACTGTATCAGAGTTTAAGTAAGGAGTGGATGTTTACACTCCAGCAACCTCACCCAAACTTTTTAATAGCTGGAGCTAGTGTTTAAGTTTTTCTGCTTCCTTGAGTCCTACAGTTCTCTTCTAGTGTTTTAACATAAGAACAAGCATAAATCCAACTACTGTGTTGCCTGTCCAAGTATGTTTTTTTTTTCAAAAGCATCCAAACCATCCAGTTTTATGTTGTTATATGTTAGATCAAATAAAATTTTAATGAACTGCATTTTTATTTATATCTCTTGCCCAAAATACGTAGACAATTCTGTTTCTTATAAGCTGGTGAGGATGCTGACCTCTATTTAGTTAAACTAATAGAACCAACTCAGAGTTTTAGCTTGTGACAGTTGATAAAATCTACTAGCAACTGTGTGAAATTTAAGAAATGTATGCGGGGGAAGACTTGTAAACTACTTATGCATAAATTGAAAGCTTGATGTGGGGCTAGTGAATGGCCAGTCGGACTGGGAGACAGGTGAAGGTTTATTTCTGTGTTTTTGACCCAGTTTATGTCAAATGTTTAAATTCCTGGTGAGTATTTATACTGTCAAGCTCTTATTCTCAACATCAGAAGGAATCATGTCAAAATGAAACACTGCTGTTCATGAAATACCACGTTAGACTACACTAACGTGCAGTCGATTGACCTCCTGACCCTGTGCAGAGCGCTGGATACTCTCGTAGTACAGCCGAGTGAAGAAAGATGATGCATTGTGACATCTGCATTAGCTCCATTGACAGGAAGCGTCAGTCATGGAGAATCAGTGACCACAAACTGACACTACGTGCTACTGAAACCACATGTTACTCATGGTCCTACTTCCTGTACAAACCTGCTTTCTTTGACAGACAATCAACAAAAACTATTGTTGTTCCTCCTCATATTCTACCCTGTCTGCTCCTTGACAACCTTGCTAGTTCTGGAGAGAGAAAAGTGTCAGATATACTCACACACTAACATACCATGTGAAAACAAGAGTGCTTTTATTGAACCGTTCAGTGTGAGTCCATGTCTGTGAAGCGGGGAGAGATCATTTCAAAGAAACCTGCTGCAGATATAAACTCTGAGCAAAATTATTTTTGTACGAGCAAATAATCGATTGTATCCTTGGAGATGTTCACCAAGTGTTTTTTTTGCAAAAAAGCAATATGAAATTACTTCAGTAGAGGTGCTCAGTGCCATTCACAGTAGTAATGCATATTATCTTGGTCTTTAATGGGCATTCACTATCACTCAGTAGAAAGTATAAAAGCCCTATAACATTTCTAACTAGCTAGTGGGTCAGTCACAAACTCATACTGTGCTGTCAAACTTTGTTCAAACCCACAGAACTTTATTTCCAATTCTAGTGGAGATCACAAAGTCTCCAAAGATGCCAAATATATCTGGCAGCTTTTTGGGGAAAACTTCTTTAAAATAATGCACAAGATATGTAGAATCTTCCCATTTCCCCAGAAATTGTGCAGCCGTGAAACAGACTCGTCGGTTTAAATATTTCATGACTGTAAACATCATATAGCTTCAGTCAAGACTTGGAATAAGTTGATAGAAGCTGGTGGAATAAGATGATTTTAAGATAATTTTTTCCTAATATAAAGCTACTTAATGGTAAAAAAAAATGTGTGTTTTAAGTATGTTGGTTTTATTTTTGTGTCAAATTTGGATTGACATATTTCATTTTGACTAATTAGGTAGAACTTGTTGCTAAATTATTCACACTCTCTTCCATTAATGCCTTTAAAATCAGTTGGTGGACAGAAGTAAAGGAAAGGGGAAAATCTGCATTTCAAAAACACCAGATGAAACTACAAGACATGTAGACTGGATCTCATCTAATAGGCTTTGAATATTTAGAAGGCCCCATCTCTCTCTCTCTCTGTCACACAGAAAACAGACAGGAGGCCAACAGAAATATCGTGCTTGTTTGAAAGCTGTTGCGCTAATGGCAAGGCGTTAATTAACTGAGGCATTTGCCTGAGACGACGTGCTATCCTTAACAGGCAAAAACCGGCAGTACTTGGTGATGGAACCTGCTCTTTCTCTGGACTTTCAGATGAATTTGCATGACATTTACCTCCTCAGTGCCAGGATAATCAGCTGAGAGGTTGATTGAGAGGAATCCAACCGTAAAGGCCCCACTACTTTTCGTCCTGACTTTTTCTTTTACAAAATGGCTCATTTTGAGTCTGTAATTTGCGCTGGCATACCTTTCCCCTCAAGTGTGCCCATCACAGACACACAAAACATGGTATGTATGGAAATGAGTGCATCCCCCAGGAGACAGAGGGGATAGAGGTGTCACAGTCAATGAAGCCAGTCTCATCCTGTTGTGGCGCCATCACACTCTGAACCCATTTAACCAGCCGCAGTTAACCGCAGGTACCATATGGATCCTTTAGGGCTCTAGTCAGACCTGATTTTCCCATTGCAACTGATGATAGCATAAATGATCATCACCATGCTAATATATAACAAGTATACACCACATCGGTTAAGCCACGAGTAGTTAACTGTCATTGTTGTACGGATGGATGGCTGAGCTGCGTTCCAGAACAGTGACAACATACGCTGCTTTGTGCTCCATTCAGCGCTGCCAAGAATGACTGGAGGCATCTGTAGCTGCTCTGCATTGCTCAGATCCTCATCTGGTGCTTATGAATATCTATGAAAATACCCAGAGTCTATGGGTGAGAAACCAGGCTAATGAAGACATTCTGCGGTGTGGATAGTTTAATTTTTTTTCATATATGTTTAAACCCAGGCTGTTAGTTTATCGCTATAAACACGTCCACATCATTAAGAGCGGCATTGTTTCGTTAGATGTGTCCAGTAAAAGGTTAGGTATGTGGCAGCTAGAAATGTAAGCCTTCGCCACAATATAATTACTTCTTTCTCATTAAAAAATGCTTCTGCTTTGGAATGAAGTGTGATCAGTGAACATCTTGGCTCCTCCAAAAAAAAAGTATAATATCTTCGGTATTTCTATGCTCTTTGCCGATGGAATGCTGCGCCTCTTGGCTCATTGGGAATGGGGCCATGTTTTGGGTATCTTTTTTTGCTTGGGTAGCTCCATCTGGTCCTGGCACTACAGCGCTTTGCCCCTGCCCAGGAGTTCTGCATCCCAACTATGTGTTGGCAATTAGCAGAGATGTTGGCAAGGCGTCAGGCCGCAGTGTGACATTCTCCCTGGGCTTGTTGACTGGCTGTGTGTGTGTGTGTGTGTGTGTGTGTGTGCGTGTGTATGTATACATGTGTCCATATGTGTGTGAATGTGTAGTCATGGCTTCCTTTTAGTGTGTCGTCATTTTAGCCCTGCTCTGCTCTACCATTCTGATTCATCTTTGCTGTTTTGTTTACCCTGTAAAGCTGAGAGAACTATGAACAGTCTCCCCAAAGTAGAGCACATTGATACTTTACATTCACTATTTACATGAATAAAAGAAACAAAAGAACATTTCCAACAATATTTTGTAATTTTGTAATATTAGTCTTAGGATAAAGGTCAGTTTATCCCATTGACAATTGTATACCAGTCATCATTCGTTGGAGGGTTTGCCTTTTAAAGAGATATCCCATAGGTTTGTCAACCTCTATTTCAAATATTTTCATTTCATCTCTTTAGCAACGACAGACAATAATATATGAAAAAAGAAAAGAAAATCCCAGAAAGTACGAAAATGTTAGTAAACAATTTTGAAGTCATAACAATCTATCAATACCAGAACTCTGGCCATTAACTTGATTTGGTAGTTGTTTTTTTAGATTCTCTCTCCTATCTCCTAGTTTGTCATTAGTTTCGTATTCTATTGTATAATCACAATATTAGAGGTTTGTTATCTTTAATCCTATATGCAGCAATGAATATGTTGGTTTGTTACGTTTAATTTCTTTACCAATGCATTGTGTGACCTGGAGATATCTGCAGAAATCTTCTTTTTTCAAGGTCATATTGATTCGAGAGGTGTTTAAAAAGACTTCTTTGTATCCAGGTTTGACATGGCAGGACGACATCACTCAGCAGGTCATTTCTAGAGAGCTCTCTAAACTGAGGAACGTCCCTCTCCGCCATCAGACTGCACCTCCAAGCCTGAGCAGCTCCAGAGACAGGAAACTAAGGCCTGCGCAGGCTGAGCTGAACAGAAACCTTCAGCAGTACCTGACAGGCCTGGGTTTCCTGCCACACTCTGAGGTTGATGGACAACCAGGAATCCAACGAGGGGGAGACAGCAATCAGGTAAGAGTCTTGTACACTGTAGACTTGTGGCAGTAGCTGACATTGGAGGGGATTGGACAGGTGTACAGAAGAAGGTGTATAGAAGAATTTGGGGTACGCCACAGATTTTACACGTGAAGTTCAGTTTACGCTTCATGAGGAGTACAAATGTCTTTTGTGGCTCAGGAAGCAGCTTTCTAAAGTAAAAAACAATAACCCTGTGATGTCGTCAGGGTTATCTCAGCTTGGGCTTGATACTTTTTTACCAAATAGCTTCTTATGAAGTATGGTAACTATGGTATTTTCGGTGCTTTATCTATATTACACAAAAAAATAAAAGTCAAGATATCTTATTTTTAAAATCTGTCCCTGGCAGCCTAAACTTTAAGGAAGTGACATATTATATTGTCTCCTTTAGAAACTTACTGTTTATGCCATAATGTAACTGCTCGTCTATAGATATAGCATTAAGGTCCAGGGTTCTGGCTAGAAATATTGGTCCACAAAGTAAACAAAAGAAAACATGTTTTCCTTGACTAAATTATGGAAGGGCCTCTTCCTATTCCTTTTGAAAAAGAGTCAGTATGTCTTTTGCGGGGGTCACCCTCTTGTCCCTGCACCGCTTTTGTTTCTCGCTTTCTGTCTTCTCCCTTCATCTCCCACTGAGCAGGGACCCTTTTACACAAAGATCTTCCATCACTCTTTACATTATTCAACCCTCATATTTAGGGTGGAACCCCAGCTTTGTGTAAAATGTGCTCTGCATCCTTCATAGCCGAGCCGCTTCCTGCTGCTGTGTCAGTGCAGCCATAATGCAAAGTTGAAGAGTTCAGGACCTTCCTTATTGATGAGATGAGGTCCTTTGTTGTGTAGTGTGATGGAAAAAAGCAAACATAGTTAGCATGAATGGCAGAGCACCCCGTCTCGCTGTGCTAATGCCATTATGGCCTCTCAGTATGCCGGGTTTGGAAAGACTGACATTTTCTCTATATACATTTGAAGGACAGAAAATGGCACCAAGGGAGATAGCTAGTATTAGTGCAGCAGCGACATGGATAATAATGCTGCTCAGTGGATCGGATATACTGTCTGCTGAATTGAAGCGTGGGCCCTTATGATTCAGACGAGAAGAATGATTTCTCTTCCTCAGAGAGAAGAAAGGACAAAATCACACATTTTGGTGCCAATATTAATACCAATTACAATGCCAAATGGCTAAAAGACGCATTGTAATGTAAACACATAATTCATCATGTGTCAAAATTGAACTTGCGTAGCTAACTCTGAAATCAGATGACTCATATTTTTTTCCTTTTTAGATAAGGGGTTGCTGCTACTTCTCTGACAGAAGTGATGTGCTTTTAAAGTTTGTTGTGTGTTGTGGAAATGCATGAAATTACTCTTTGAGTGACACTATCTCATCTATGATTTCCATAATGTAATTTCCAGGGGCAGTTGTCTTTGATCTAGATACCCTATTCATATCCTGTCCTGTCTAGTCGAGCCCAGGTTGCTTCTCTTTTTATACTAAAGCCTGTCACAACAATGCTGACCCAGCACAACCCATCTAATGTTCTCTTGGGAAAAAAATAGCTGGAACTAGGCTGAAGATTAATCATATGAATGTTGTCACTTTAGCTTTACAGAAATGAACAAAACTAAGAATCTATAGCAGGTATTTGGTCATAAATGACAAATAAATACTTTGGCATAGGAGATTTATATACATAGCTAAGAAAGAAAAGTTATTACAATTCATGAATTTGTGAATTTTTGTGCTAAATTTCATGGCAATCCATCCAACAGTCTTTACCACACCTCATGGATGGCGCTAGAAGAAAAGTCTGGATGTCACCAAATTCATTAGGAGACATCTTCCGAGCACTTTGAACGTCTGTACAAAATGTCATAGTAATCAATTCTGTAGGTGTTGAGATATTTCACTATAAACCAAATAAGTCAACCTCAGGGTGGCGCTGGAGGAAAAGTTATCAGAGTCAATTCATACTGTCAGGGACCATGAATGTCTGTAATTTAATGGCAATCCATTCAATTGTGGTGGAGATATTTCAGACTGGATCAAAGTGGTAGATCGATCGTCAGACCTTTAGCCATCCCTAGAGCCACACCACTAGCTAGCATGGCTATAAATGATGTGTGACATATTAACAATGCTTTAAACGTGCTAAATGGGCATTTTGTGTTGTAGAATGGAGACATCAAGTCTGATCCTCATTTGGAGCCCGGCCGGGCAAAACCCCAGCAGGGCTGGAAGGAGACCACTCTCTACAGCGTTCATAAAGGAGACGGCCAACCTCCTGTCACCAAAGTCTTCACCCAGAGTGGAGAGGGCAGACACCCCAAGCTCAGTTCAACCTACTCTAACCGGGACCCAGGAAGGAGCAAACCACTGTCCAGCCAGCTGGAACGGCTTCTTGCTGAGGTACCGAGCGTGCAGCAGGGCACCCCAGGTGGCAAAGCTGCGTGGCCCAAAGGAAAGCTCCACTACCTCAGCTACATCCAGCCAGCGCAGAGTGACCACACAGAGCCGCAGTCTCAGGTGGCTTTTGGCTTCAAATCCCAAAGGCCTAATCTAGATAGACTTCTGCTCAAGGCCGGCTCACACCGACTGACTGCCAAAGAGCCTCTTAGTGTCGTGGACGGTAAAATCAGCTTTTTTATAGATATTACACACTTTGACTTCTATATTTGCGGCACAATATGCCTTTTTAAATTTTTTTACTTAGTTTGTTTGCTTTTTAGAGTTTAGATCAGTATGATTGTGGGTTGTAACTCTTCTCTTTCCTCTCCAGAGCGATTCATCCAGAATATGGTGAACCAGCTGGGAAGGCACAGCATCAACATGGAGGCTTTGATGGACAAAGACCTAGACCAGCTGGCTGAGGTCATCACAGGAACCCTGCAGGAGGTGCATAAGGAGCAGCCAGTGGTTGGGGCCCAGCCAGGACCAGGAGCAGCTGACTCCAGGGGGGACAAGGAGGCCAACAGGGAGCCGCTGGCAGCCATGCAACTGAATCAAGACCAGGACCTGAAATCAGACAAAGGGCAGGATCCAAACCAAAAAGACAAACTGAGAATGAAACAGCAAGGTGTGTGTTTCTACTGTAGAGAAAGAGAATACAAGCTGGCAACGTTTGGAGTACTTATGTGTTTTCTGTCATAGATATAAGACTATGAGGCATTCTAAAATTATAAAAGCTTTAATAATGCTTTGTTTGTATGTTCATCATAGAAAATGTTGCCAAATGTATTTTTGAGTCTTTCATTTTGAGTCATAACTGTTTTTTCTTTGCCAAATACAAAAGAGAACTTTCACACAATCTGCTCACATACATTGTGTTTGTTTCCAGGCCAACAAGTAGACGGGGCAGACAAAGAGCCTGTTGACAAGGTGAATTTAAAATTACTCTGCTCAACCAATAAATTGGTTTCTCAGGGAACGAGACACGTCCAAACTTACACTTTATTCACTTTTGAATGCTACTTCAAATGGTGATGATTTGAAAGTTGGGCAGACTAGCATTTACTGTTGAATTATTAGAACTTGAAAGCAAACTCGCAACTGTGGGAGTTTTAAAAGCGATATGAAATAAAATAATTTTGATGCTGTGAATCTTTTGTTTAACTTTTAGTGAGTAAGTAAAGCTACTGAATGCACCCTTTAATAATTTCTAAGGAGAAAGGTTGTCATTAGACCTTGGATTCTCACTCAGACATAGAAACTCCAGTGAACACAAACTCATACCTTTTCAATGATTGACATCTAATAGAATTTTACTATTCATTAATTTTTACTCAGAACTTAATAAACTCTCCTTGAAAAGTAAAGTAAAAGTAATATATAGGTAAAATTAATTAGAAAATGCCTTCACTATTCTAAAGAGAAATGTCTGATTCAACACAGCATGCAGCCTTCTTCTCCAAGTTGCTGGACTATCTCAACCTGGAGCCCTTCGGTGATGCTCCGGAGGTCAACATTGGGCCTCCGGCTCCCCTCCAGAAAATGGTCGGGCTGGAAAGCGTCCAAAGCCGAACGACGCAGGGGCAAGTTCCTGTCCCCCAACGTTGGGAGGAGAAGACCATTGCCGTGCCAGCAAAGGAAGGCTCCACTCTTCGTTTAACCGGGGGTGCAGAGGGGCCTGACGCTCAGGTGGACTCAGAGATCCAGAGGTGGATGCAGGGGCATCAGGCCCAAGCGGGGAAGAAGCAGCTGGAAGAGCCTCAGAAGAAGGACATGAGAGTCAAAACTCAGCTGGTCCACGTGGGGGTGAAGGAGTTTTCCAGCAGAGGGAAGGACAGACACTTTGGCTACATTATCACCGGCTCAGAGTGAGTATGATTCAGATATACAATAAAACGTATTGATATTAGAATGATCAGATTGTTATATCACCTCTATCAGAATCAATATTTTTGTTGCCAAGAAATGTCACACAGACAGTATGAGGAAGGTGCTTCACATTGAGGAATTACAGCAGGTAGGTGTATAGTAGGTGTATTTGTGTATTATAAATAATACATACAAAAATGATTATTTTATCTAAAAATATTGATTCTTATTGATTAAATATGGGGTTGTTAACAGATTGAACTGACTGCTTGTAGCTAAATTCATTAAGGTTAAATCAAGAGGGATCAGACTAGTAGTCATTAATGATCAGATGCCTTTTATTAGGAGTTTTAGGCATCTTATTCTGTTACTATTTGGGTTTTGTGTTGTTTGGTCTATGTTCTCCCTCTAGAAACGGGTGTTACAAACTAGTTCGACTGTAAATGGTTTAAAGATAATCCCTTAAATATTCATAAAATGAATAAAATTATGAGTCAAGTATGAAAAAGAGAGACTTGCTGTGGCAGCTGTCCATGGCACCATTATAGATGTAGAGTTATAGTAACTGTAGCTTTACATTATACTGTTGACAACAATGCAGACACTTACAACAGACTGAACTACTGTTGGTCTATAACCTCTTTTATCTTTAGTCAGTGTCCTCGAAAACTCGCTTGCAAAAAGCTTCACCAACAACCTTGTAAAAGCTACTCTCTCATTCTTAAGTGGTTATTATCAGCTGACTTGATGGTGTAGCTCACAGCTTCATATTATAGTTTATTGCTCCACTCACCAGTTGTCAGCTGCACTATTGGACTTGTTTCAAGGCAGACTCATTTTACATACCTTAATACCGAGCATATGTCTGCTTTGTTCGGTTACTTAAAACTGCCTTTAAGAGACGCAATTTCTGTCAAAACATCCCACGTATTCACGTCTTTATGGAAAAGAACACTGTACTTTGAAATCCTTAGTGTGTGCTGCACCTGATTACAATAGCAGGGATGATAAATCCCTCAGTGTGTGGGTATTACTGTGCCGTATTACAGCTTTAATGATGATACTTTGTCAGGGAGGTTAGCCAAGTTCTCCCTCTCTCTCTCTCTCCTTCGCTCTCACCTCTCAGTCAGCTCAGCCTCAGCAAAGATAAGTTCCTATCGACTGTGTCTTCCCCCGTGGCCCTCTCTCAAATCCCTTTATGGCGTTATCAAGTCCGGTGTCAGTGGGTTGTCCTTCACCTGTTCAACAGACGTAGGCTCATAAAGGTCCGATGGGCGCAATCTTTGTCACCTTATTGCCACACATATAGAAACGCAGATTAAGACATAAACACACAATATGGTTGATTATGTGGCAGGGGAAAGAAACAGGTCACCTTCCGAATGAAATATCTTCACCCCCCCCTCCTCAGCCCACCGAGCGGACACCTATAGTTGGTCTATAGAGGTGTCTGCATTTGCTGCAGACCTCATGATTGCACGGTTGTTATCCCCAGCTCCTTTGCACCCTGCAGTGAGGCTACGCAAACCTGCTTATCTGACAGCTCCTGACATTGTGGTGGTGGTAGTGGGGGGTTTAGGGAATAGGGAGGGGAGGTATGTGGAGGAGGGGGAAGTGGAAAGGTATGGATAGAAGAGAAAGAGACAGAGAGAGAAACCCAAGGGGAAAAGTGCTAGCATCAACAACCAAGTCACTCCTGGAGCTCTCCAGTTGCTAGAATTACCGCAGAGGGATGCAAACGTGTCTGGAATTGCTTCGGCGAATCTTTAACTTTCAAAACCCCTCAAAAAGTGGAGAAAAAAGAGCCACCCACTCTCTCTCAAAGGTGGAGTGAATCAGCCGTTCATGCACAGTACACTGTTCTGTGTTGTGTTAGAAAAAAAACAAAACTGCTGTATTGTGGTGTCAAATGCAGGCCGAACAAAACAATATCTCAGCATAATTTTCTACTCGAACATGTCTACTGATTGTAAATATTTAACTTGAGAGGATGGTGAATATCTGAAAAAACACACATATAACTGATAATGCACTCAGTACCCAGTGCTGCATGGAATTGGTTCCCACTTCATTTCACATTTCTCTGCTATGGAGTGGGAACAAAATTCGAACAATGTCTCATTATGACCCATGACTTTTTGGTGCATGTCACCTTGCAGTCACTTGGCAGTCTCAGTGATTCCAGGTTAAGCTGTCAGCAATAAAGTAGCTTTCTGTGTGTGTATATGTGTGTGTGTGTGTGTGTATGCCCTTCTCATTTCCTCCATCCAGCGCGTTGGCCTGCAGATTGCCTTTGTTTGGTCTATTTCCTTGGCGATTTACTCTCTGAGTGAGAGAGCAGCCACGGACTGAGCTGAGATGAGGCATGGCTTTATCAGACCACCATTACACTTCACCTCCATTCCATTTGCACCTTATTATTCTCATCTCACCGTGAGGGAGCGTGCGCGGCCCGCGTGTTTGTGTACTTTGTGTTATCATGTTTTACTTTGAGCGTACGTGCGCTGGGAGAAAGAAAGCGAATGTGGGCGAAGAAAAAGAAAGATGAGAGAAGGAAAGGGGGAGAAAGGCGCGTCCATATGATACAGCCATTACACCTCATGCAGGTTCCATTTGCACCTTATTGTTTGTCTCATTGCTGGAAAAAAGCAGGTGATTTACCAAGCCTGAAGAGGCAGCTGATCCCTTTTCCCTTGGCACGACTCTTTGTGTGTGTTTGTTTGTGTGTGCGTGCCTGTGTGTCTGTCTACGAGTGTGTACATGTGTGCAGTACATCCATTCAGACAACCGTAGCTTATGCTTGTGTGCAATGACCCATTTGTGGGTATGAATTGTGGCAGCATCTCCCTAAAAAAATAGCATTTTAACGGCTGAATAGCTGTGTGTAGCTTGTATAGGTATGGACCTCCAAACATGACGCCCAACTGTCTGTGTGTTTCTCTCCCAGCTCCCTTACCACTGACGAGGGCTCGGACCTGATGGAGCGGCTGACGCAGAGGGTGAACCTCCACGCCACGGACCTCACCCAGCTCTCGTATGTACAGACACAAAGATCCCGTATGCACCCACATTGTCACAAATTATGATTTACCTTGCAGTTTAATAAAGGATAATTGGACACTTTTAAAGCATTTGAAACAGTTTTGTTTTGCGCTTTTGAGCTCTGAGAAACGGAGTGAAGGTTGTCCAGACGCTGCAAGGACTGTTTGTGTGAAAATGCTGTGCCACACTGCCTGAGACTGTAGGCGTTTGTTGTTTTTCTGACCTTTTGGAATGTTTGACTTCTCGCAGAGAGAGAAATCAGGCCTAATTACCTCCAGACACATACTGATGTCTCTATTGTATTCAAAACACTGCCTCACCACTATTGTCACTGTACGCCTTGTCAAAAAGAGAGCAGTCAAGCCATCAAACGATTCTCAGTTAGAGGCAAAGAGAGAAAGGGAGAGAAAGGGAGAGAAAGGGAGAGAAAGGGAAGCAGCGGTGGATCGAGAGCTGGAAATAGAGAAAGTTGTCCAGCAGGAGGCGGTTAATATATTAATGAGCAGGCGAACTGTCCTTGAACCTAGGCTGGTTTGTGCTTGTACCATGGTTCTGCTGTACATTTGGTGTCAGACCATGTAGGAGACAGAGGAGATGTGTTCGCCTAAGATCTGACAAGCCTTTCAAGACGCTCCTGCAGGAGAAGTGAAGTCTGGGTGGTTCAGTAACACCCGCAGCATATGAACACCAAAGCCGGTGCACTGCAGACTGCGGCTGCACTGTAACTGTAGATACAGGGTATTCTAGCTCGGATAATAGCTACTGTGAGGGAAAACTGTCTAACAGTACTCTGTAGTCTAGTGTTCAACATTGAAAATACACACTGTGACCTCAAAATAAATGCAACCAAGGAGACGTTATGGTCTCCGCCTTTAAATCCAAGCTTTGGGTTTAGTTTTGATAAGCAGGAACACCAGGAAATGTCATTGTGCCGGCACTGATTGAGTTAATCTTGTTATTACACCTGTCATTTCATATCACTCAGAATCAGCTCCTGATGCACATAATGACTGATGTTGTTATCTGGATGGTGATGGATAACCAGTGACTTTATTGCACTGTACAATCATTCAGGGATGAAAGAAGTACTCAGATCCGTAAAAGTAGTAGTACAACAACAGTTCATTACAATTACAGGTCGTGCATTCAAGGTTTGGAGGTGGTAAGTATTAAAAGTAAAAGCACAAGACACCTTTTAGAGCAGTATACATTTACTCTATATTATATTATTGGCAAGTTATTACTGGTTATTATCATAGTTAATGAAAATTGCTTTCATTGGAATCTTATCATGACAATATAAACATACTGTGTTTTGTTACTATTCTACAAGATTGAATAAGATTCTGAGCAAATTTTAACTGAATTTAATTTCATTATTTCATGTAATTTTGCATACATTTGCATATATTACACAACAAAACACTGTTATTAATATCATGATATTGATTCCAGCCACATCACCCAGCCTGACTGATCTGCATTAATGGTTTCCAAACTGTGTGGCACGCCTCCCCAGGGGCGAATTTTGACACAGTTTTGACTCCTTCTCCTTCATAACTGAGTCAAATCTAAACACACAGACATAATACACATATTTTTAGATTCAGTGTTACTCATGGTTTTTCGAGGATATTTAAACTTTGATGTCCATTGCGAATAAATCCGCTTATAATAACTCCAGAACTTGCCTTAGAATCATCATGTTTTTAAGTATCAAAGTAATCCAGTAATAGTTGTGTGTACATCCATGGCCACATTGCAGACAGGAACTGCTAATAGCCAATTCAGCATACTTTTAATGGTGCCAATTTGCAATTTGTTGTTGTCTTTAGTCCGGTAAAGGGCCTGCAGTGTCATGGGCAAAAGAAGTGAACAGGAAGACAGAGAAAGCAAGAGAAACAACAACAACAAAAAGGATAGAAATACAGAAAAGTTTAAGTAAGGTAAACAGTAGGTGAGCAAAACTAGATTTTCTCAATGTGTAAGATTATAGGAGGGAGAAGAAAAAATAAATGAAAAAAGGGGCATTTACAATAATAACAATAATTAGGAGTGAGAGAAAAGATAAAAAATAGGCTCCTAGGGGGCATTTATGGTTGGTGTCAGGGTGGAACCGGGATGGGGCGTAACAACTGGGTCAATCCAGAATTGTATTTATTTATTAATTTCTAATTTATTCTCCCTGTCTTTTATACATTTATTTATCTATTTTTAGTTTCATTCTTGTTTGTTGTTTTTTCTTCATCCTTTCATCCTTGTTTTCTTTGCTTCCTCCTGCTTTAGGCCACATAGTTACATCTAACAAATCATCATATTTTAGGAGCAGATGTGTTATGTGTGTAAAATCTGAATCCTCAAAGTAGCTATAGTTGCCAAATACATGTAGCAGACTAAAACGTGGAGTATATTCCTCTTACGTAAAAAGTAGCATCAAACTGGAATATTCTAGTGCAGTAAATGTACTTTTTTTTTTCTCCACCGCTGCATATATGCTTGATCACAGTGCATTAAAGCCATTAAGCCAGTGTAAAAGCCACAGACAGATGCCTTAAATGAAGCTTCCACACCACATTACACCTCATATTGATAAAAGTATTCTATACAGAAGACAAATACAGAAAATGTCCTCTTTGTTGAGCTTGTTTATCATTTTACCTTTTACAAAGTAATGAAAGCGCACTTGTGTAGAAACCGAGACAGAGGACATGACGCAAACCCATTGTGCCTCTTGCTGTGTGGCCACGGCAGGTGAGTGTTTGAAAGCCTCTGTCTGAATATGAGTACGAACGCTGGGTCAGAGCACACCGCCCTGCCTCAGGGGCCGCTCGCTTCTCGCTCACACTGATGAGCCCTGATAGGAAGACTGGAGAAGAGATACTCAAATATGACAACAGGCGAGGCAGAGGAGAATTTCAGACAGAGTATATGAGAAGAGGAGGCTGAAGGTTTCGATGTTGTTGAGATTTTCAGCCGCTGCGCACAATTATGTTCGAGCCTGCTACTACAGTAATCAGCACAGAATATTCCCTTTTCAAAGGAGATTTGAAATAGTAGTTTTGGATGATGATGGGTTCGGGATGATATGTGCCTTTTTTAGATGACGTAAGTGTTTTACTCGTCAGAAACACTAGGGGGAGTGGGATACACACTCACAAGTCCATCCTCACACACAGTCTGTACAGGCACACACACACACACACCCTGCCAATATCCCACCAACCAGTCTACACATACACACTCATCATGTCCCAGCAGCAGAGCTAATATGAAGTCCAAGCTTACACATCCGATAACACAGGAGACAGTGTGAAGTCCTCCAGATAACTTATCTGTCTTAACTTCATCTCCCAACTGTGGTAGTGTTTTTCCCCTACTATATTTAAATAGGGTTTGTGTGGCTTGGAGAAAAAAAAATATTCCGTCAGTTCAATTTGAGATGCATTGAGATCTCTGGCAGAATACATTCAGGCAGGTAGAATGGAGGCAGGGGTAAAGATTGTGGAAATATTGACATTTACGAGAGCAAACAGAGCCCAGGTGAAGGCATTAGAGAAGGACATATTTCTTTTAGAGCCGTGTGTGGGTGTGTGTGTATGTGTGTGATCATGTTCACAAATGCATCTGTGCATGGTTGGGCCCGTCTGTCTGGCAGTATCGGCTCATATATTGCCCCTGGCCGAGTGAGTGTAGCTGCTTCTGTAGCAGGCTGACTGATGGTGAGTGGGTCTGGGTCACGGCACTCTGGCAGCCTGATGAATCTCCCTCTCTGTCGTACACTCTGCAGAAGTACACTAAAAATGTATGTACACTTTCCAGGGCTTAACTATTAAGACATGATGACGTACTGTAATGGCTTAGTGATTTAGAGCTGATGGAAAGATGGCATCTCAACTCGCCGTGTGTGTTCATGCATCTACCAAACAAAATATCTCAGAGGCCGCTGTCACATACTGATTTTTTCATTGTTATTATAAAAAGAAAGATTATAGCAACTTTAAGAGCTAAAACGTACACAAAACACTGTAGCTAAAACACACTGCTAAGCACTAAACAGCAGACAGACACAGTTAGCGACTAGCTGGTGAACAAAGTGGATAATTTAGCTGCTATTAGGGGTTGGTGGAGACCAAAATCGGAGTTAAAAGAAAGTGAATATTGGAAAAGCTGGACTCCAAATTAATGATGCATTTGTAAACTTTTTGTATAAATAAGCAACTGTTTGTTAACAACTAACAACTTGATACGGTGGTACTGGTGGAGATACTGTATGTCAGTGTTGTGTTTACAGTTTCTGCTGCCCCCTAAATCACCCAAAAAAATCTGTTTAGGTTTAACTACATATATATTCCTTTTTCTATACATTTTTTAATGCATGCTTTGTTTACCTTACATCCATTTTTTTTAGTTTAACTTAGTTGAATTTATCTTTGTAAGGCAGTGAAGTATTTGCACCGTTTGTTTTACCATCTAACAATAACGTAACAAAATGTTAAGCAGGATTTGAGCAATTGCTAATCAAAATTGATGAAAGTTAATGGGTACCTGCAATGTCTGAAATCTCAAACACAGCAGCTTGTTGAAATTAGCTAGTTAGCAGTAAATGAGCTAAACGTGCAAAAACACTGGCATGGGTATTTTTGCACTGCAAAAGAAAAAAACCTTTTCTGAAGTAAAGTGTGTCTTTTATGGAGCCCAAAAGTCGAAAAACAAATTCTGCCTTTGAAGTAAGATTACCAAAACCTGTTTCAAACACAAATTGTTTAAACAAATGTCCACAAATGGATGTGTATTTTAAAAAAATAAGGGTTCCTTAGAATCAAGAAAAATAAAACCCGATTCTACAAAAATCTATCTATAAAGCAAGAAAT